AAGAGGGTCAGGAGGAGGAGAAAGGGGGAAGAAGAAAGGATCAGGAGGAGGAGGAGAGGAGGAGAAAGGAGGAGGAGGAGAAGAGAAAGGACGAGGAGAAAGGAGGAAGATAAAAGAGGATCAGGAGGAGGAGGAGAGGAGGAGAAAGGAGAAGAGGAGGAGGAGAAAGGAGAAGATAAAGGAGGTGGATGAGAGAGGGTCAGGAGGAGGAGGAGACAGGAGGAGGAGGAGGAGAGGAGAAAGGAGGAGAAAGGAGGAGAAGAAAGGGTCAAGAGGAGGAGAAAGGGGGAAGAAGAAAGAGGATCAGGAGGAGGAAGAGACAGGAGGAGAAAGGAGGAGGAGAAAAAACGGTCAGGAAGAGGAGGAAGGAGGTGGAAGAGAAAAGAGGGTCAGGAGGAGGAGAAGGAGAAGAGAAAGGACGAGGAGAAAGGAAGAGAAAAGAGGATCAGGAGGAGGAGGAGACAGGAGGAGGAGGAGAAAGGAGGAGAAGAGGAAGAAGAGAAAAGAGGGTCAGGAGGAGGAGGAGACAGGAGGAGGAGAAAGGGGGAAGAAGAAAGGATCAGGAGGAAGGAGAAAGGAGAAGAGGAGACAGGAGGAGAAAGGAGGAGAAAAGAAAGGAGGAGAAAAGAGGGTCAGGAGGAGGAGGAGACAGGAGGAGGAGAAAGGGGGAAGAAGAAAGGATCAGGAGGAGGAAGAGACAGGAGGAGAAAGGAGGAGGAGAAAAGACGGTCAGGAAGAGGAGGAAGGAGGTGGAAGAGAAAAGAGAGTCAGGACGAGGAGGAGAAAGGAGGAGGAGGAGGAGGAGAAGAAGAGAAAGGACGAGGAGAAAGGAGGAAGAGAAAAGAGGATCAGGAGAAAGGAGAAGAGGAGGAGAAAGGAGGAGGGGAAGAGAAGAGGTGGAAGAGAGGGTCAGGAGGAGGAGACAGGAGGAGGAGGAGAAGAGAAAGGAGGAGAAAGGAGGAGGAGAAGAAAAGAGGGTCAGGAGGAGGACAAAGGGGGAAGAAGAAAGGATCAGGAGGAGGAGGAGAGGAGGAGGAGGAGGAGGAGAAGAAAGGACGAGGAGGAGGAAGAAGGAAGAGAAAAGAGGGTCAGGAGGAGGAGATGGGGAAGAAGAAAGGATCAGGAGGAGGAGGAGAGGAAGTGGAAGAGAAAAGAAGGTCAGGAGGAGGAGGAGATAGGAGGAGAAAGGAGGAGGAGAAGAGGAAGGCGGAGGAGGAAGAGAAAAGAGGGTCAGGAGGAGGAGAAAGGGGGAAGAAGAAAGAGGATCAGCAGGAGGAGAGGAGAAAGGAGGAGGAGAAGAGAAAGGAGGAGGAAGAAGAGAAAAGAGGGTCAGGAGGAGGAGAAAGGGGGAAGAAGAAAGAGGATCAGCAGGAGGAGAAGAGGCAGGAGGAGGAGAAAGGAGGAGGAGAGAAAGTGGAAGAGAAAAGGTCAGGAGGAGGAGGAGATAGGAGAAGAGGAAGGCGGAGGAGGAAGAGAAAAGAGGGTCAGGAGGAGGAAGAGAAAAGAGGGTCAGGAGGAGGAGAAAGGGGGAAGAAGAAAGAGGATCAGGAGGAGGAGAGGAGGAGAAAGGAGGAGGAGGAGAAAGGAGGAAGAAGGAGGAAGAGAAAAGTGGATCAGGAGGAGGAAGAGACAGGAGGAGGGGAAAAGAGGAGGAGAAGAGGAGGAAGGAGGAGGAAAAGAGGGTCAGGAGGAGGAGGAGGAGAAGAGGGTTTAGGAGGAGGAGAAAGGGGGAAGAAGAAAGAGGATCAGGAGGAGGAGAGGAGAAAGGAGAAGGAGGAGGAGAGAAAGGAGGAGGAAGAAGGAGGAAGAGAAAAGAGGATCAGGAGGAGGTGGAGACAGGAGGAGAAAGGAGGAGAAGAGGAAGGAGGAGGAAAAGAGGGTTAGGAGGAGGAGAAAGGAGGCTTCCCCTTTGACTTTGTCGGAGGTTCACCAAAGGGGATCACATGACCCACCTCTCTCTCTCTCTCTCTCTCTCTCTTTCCTTTTCTCTCTTTCTCTTTCCTTCTATTTCTTTCTCTCTTTCCCTCTCTTTCTCTTTCCTTTTCTGTTTCTCTCCCTTTCTCTTTCCTTCTCTCTATCTCTCTCTTTCCTTCTCTCTTTCTCTTTCTTTCTCTTTCCTTCTCTTTCTCTGTCCTCTCTTTCTCTCTCTTTCCTTCTCTCTTTTTCTCTCTCTTTCCTTCTTTCTCTCCCTTTTTCTCTCTTTCCTTGTTTCTCTTTCTCTCTTTCTCTCTCTTTCCTTCTCTCTTTTTCTTTCCTTTTCTCTCTTTCTTTCCTTCTCTTTTTCTCCCTTTTTCTCTTTCTTTCTCTTTCCTTCTGTCTCTCTTTCCTTCTTTCTTTCTCTTTCCTTCTCTCTCTCTTTCCTTCTCTCTTTTTCTCTCTTTCTCTTTCCTTCTCTTTCTCTCCCTTTCTCTTTCCTTCTCTTTCTTTCCTTCTCTTTCTCTCCCTTTCTCTCTTTCTCTTTCCTTCTGTCTCTCTTTCTATCTCTCTTTCTTTCTCTCTCTCTTTCTCGCTCTCTCTTTCTCCCCCCCCAGGTTGTACTACCTCCAAACCTGACTCGTTCTCCCCGATGGAAGGTGGGGCCCCTTTAAGTGGCGATCCCCGAGGACACCCTGGTGAAGCAGAGGACATCCCGCAAGACAGAGCAGGTAATTTGCAGCGGAATCCGTCCCCGCAGGCAACAGTTCCAAAAGCATTCCCAAATGCTTTGTTTCTTTATCCTTCATCCGTAGAAGCTGCGGTCCTCTTGCCAACATCCACCCCAGCTGAGATGGAGCCTGGAAACCCGGGTCAGTTCAGTCCCTCACCGGGGTCATCGGAGGAGGGCGTGTCACCCTCCTCAGAGGAAGGCTTGGTGCGAGTGGACGGCCGGACGGCCGCACTGCAACAGTCCGCCGAGACGGCAGGAGACGTCACAAATTTCACCACCATTGTCGTCCAGGAAGGGGTACTTCCCGGCGAAGCGCCCTACGTGTGTCCCGACTGTGGCAGGAGCTTCCTGTACGAGGAGCAGTGTGCCTTGCACCAGCAGTCCCACCTCCGAGTCTCTCCAGTCTCTCCGGGCGACGGTCCCGCACAACGTCCCCAGCCAGAGGTCAGGGCGTATACCTGTCCGGATTGCGGGCGCTGGTTCCCCCATCAGGCCAGCCTGAGCAAACACCGCCTCTGGCACACCGGCGAGCGGCCGCACACGTGCGCCGAGTGCAAGAAGACTTTCCGGCTGAAGATCAACCTGCACCTTCACGAGCGTACCCACGCGGTCGCCAAAAAGCCTGGCTACTACATCTGCGGGCAGTGCGGCCGGACGTTCAACCACCACTCAAATTTTTTGCGGCACCAGATGATCCACACCGGGGAGCGGCCGTACGCCTGCGGGGAGTGCGGGAAGACGTTCATCCGTAAGGAGCACCTGGCCACCCACGGGCGGCTGCACACGGGCGAGCGGCCCTACCGGTGCCCGCTCTGCCCAAAGAGCTTCACGCGCAAGCAGCACCTGGTGGGACACCAGCGCCTGCACGAGGGGGAGGCAATCTGGCTGGAGGATCACCCCACTCAGAGGGACGGGCATGGCCAACCGGGTGGCGTCGGAGTTCAGGCAGACCCCATCGAGCCCATACTCGGACAAGAGACGTATCCCCCGTAATCACGCAGCAGATCCCGGGGAAGAACCAGACGAAGGGGTGCTGGCCCGGGACGCGTTTGGGCAGCCATCTTGAAGCAACCACAGGGCCATCCTCAGTTCTGTCCTTTATCTCCACAGCTGGAGGCAAAAGGCAGGATCCGCTAACCTTAAGATCTATGGGGATAACTGAGTGGGAAGGGGCGTTGAAGGTCTTCTAGTCCACCCCACTGCTCAGGCGGGAAACCCTAGAGCCCCTAAACCATTCCAGACAAACGACTGTCCAATCTTTTCTCATCTGAAGTCTGACCTGATTGATTCCTGGGACTTTGCTGGGACCAAGGAGCAGGGTGGGTCAAAAATTCAAAATGGCAGCCGGCACAATCCTGGTTTTTTTTCTCCCTCCCTTGCAAGGAGGCTTTTGACTCTGGGGAGGGGGGTGTCAAGTTTTATTCTCTGTTTTCATCCCGGCATGACTTTTCTCTGTGGGAGGAAGGGACCTGTGGAATTCTGGGAGTTGAATTTCACCCATCTTAAAGTTGCCTCATGTGAGGCCTGAACGATCCAGGACCACCTGTTAATTTCCAGGGAAAGTGATCCATTGCGTGGGCCGTGGGCAGATAGTCCTCGACGTATGCCCCAAATTTCCGTCACTAAGCGAAACAACGGTTAAGGGAGTTTTGCCCCATTTGACCACCTTTCCTGCCCCATCTGTTAAGGTAGCCACACGATCGGGCTATCCCCTTGACTCAGACGGTCGTAAAAGGGGACCGTGTGACCCACGACACGGCAACCGTCATAAATGCGAGTCAGTTGCCAAGCCTCTGAATTTTGATCACGTGACCCCGGGACGCGGCGACCATCATAAATACGAGTTAGTTGCCAAGCCTCTGAACTTTGATGACGTGCTCCTGCGGATACCGCAACGGTCCTTAAGCGAGAAAAACAGCCCGAAGTCACCTTTCAGTGAGGTTGTAATTTGGAACGGTCACTAAATGAACGATCACTAAATGAGGACTCCCAGCACTGTACATAGTTGTACATTGTCCAGAGTGTTTCTATGAAGGAGAGGGTCAGTTCCTAATTATGATATATGAAGAAAATGAAATAAAACGGTTAAATAAGATTAGATCTCGCAAATACTGTATTACAAACAATCCTTTTAGCGCAGTGGGCCAGAGTTCCTCAATTTTTCGGGATTGGCGGCCCGGAGGGTGGGAAGGGGGAAACGGAGGGATGGCTTTGTTGGCCGTGAATGCGTGCGTGCGCACGAACACCAGTTACTTGCACAAGTTGGGTGCAAATGCCCGTGACATGACAACAATTAGGTGAGCGGGCCGTGAATGCCTGCAACCCTTGCGGCGACGCTTGTGCGTGTGGCGCCATGAACGCAGGCGACGCTTGCGGCGAGAGTTGTGCGATTGGGGCCGTGAATGCCCGCAACGCTCATGTGACACTTGTGCAAGTGGGGTCGTGAACACCTGCCGCGTTTGTGGTGCACACTCGTGCGAGTGAGGCTGTGAATGCCCACCATCCTTGCAGCAACGCTCAAGCGAGTGGGAGCACGACTTTGTGCCGCTTGCGGCGACAATCGTGCGGCTGGGTCCGTGAGTGCCACAAACGGGGCCGCAGACGGCTGCAACACTCTCAGTGACGCTCGTGCACGTGGGCCCACAAACACCCGCAACGCTCACAGAAGGGGGTCCACGAATGCCTGGGACGCTCGTGGACACACTCGCGCAAGTGCCGCCGCAAACGCCCGTGATGCNCCCCCCCCCCAGATCCGGTGGAGCCTCACAAGAGACAGGGACCCACAACGTGCTGTGCTCGGTTAAACGTACATGTCTTAGCTGCAACGGTCTTTGATGAAGCAGAAGGGAAGAATATCCAGAGATGTGGACTTTGATGTACTGCGTGGACAATCCGGAAAACAAATTCATGGATCATTGAACAATAAAATCCAATAAAATCCTTAAGGAACCACGCGTGACCGGGTTAAAATTGTCCGATTTCGGACACACGAATCGATTTTCGTGGTATAGCGTGGAAGGTACCGATAAGTCCTCGACTTAACGACCAACAAATGAGCCCCAAATTTCTGTTCCAAAGCGAGACATGTCTTTAGTGACTTTTGCCTCGTTTTACGACCTTCCTTGCCACGGTCGTTAAGCGAATTGCTGCAGACGTTAAGTGAGTCACACTGTCAAGTGAATCGGGATTCCCTGGTTGACTTTGCCGGTCAGGCGGTCGCCAATGGGAATCACGGGACCCCCCCCAAGACACTGCGACCGTCATAAATGCGAGTCAGTGGCTATCTGAATTTTGATTGGGATCATGGGTCGTCAGAGTGAAAAAACAGTCGTGAGCCGAATCAGTGCCACCGTCTCTTTGAACGGATGCTAAACGAACGGTTGTAAGCCGAGGGCGGCGGCGTAGTTATTGGAGGATTTGCAGCCTGTAGGAAAAGCAAATTTGCCCTTTTGCAGCTTCACAGGAAACGCAGCTTCTCTCCAGTCCTCCCCTCCTGCAATTCCACCTACGAACGGAGGCGGCGCTGCAGGCGGCAGCCGGAGAGGTCGTCCTTCCTCGCTGTACTCCGCTCTTCCGCCTAAGAGGACAGCTTCCAGTGAAACCGCACCGACGCTTCCGGCTCCACCTTGACAAAGAGAAGAGGGGCTCAAAGCAATTAGCCCCCCGCATCCCCAGCCGGCTTCATACCCTACATTTATCAAATTTAATACTAATTTGAGTGCCAATCTAATATTTATGGACTGAATAAAAGAATTAAATTGAACCTTTTAAATTCAATGTAATATTATGTTTGTACTATATTCAGAATCTATTCAATATAATACATACAATGGAATGATATTGAATACTGTTTAAAGATGAATGCAAGTACATCAATACATTAAATTGGATAAAAATAAAATAATATCTTCCATTTTTAATTTACATGATTATACAAAGTGCATTACCTCTATATAATCATTATATAATTTATATTATATAATTATATTATGACATTATTGTATTATTACCAATAATAAATGAGCAATAAAGCATAATAAAATAATATATAATTTATTCTATGATATTATTATACAACAATATCATATAATATGATACTATAATAATAAATGGTATGCATAGTATGAATGCATATTAATTGATCATTAAATGATTAAATATGCATACTATTTAATACTATATTATTGATGATTAAGTATGCATATTCATTTATTAAATTAAATGATTAAATATGCATACTATAATACTATATTATTGATTATGCATGCATATTCATTAAATTAAATGAGTAAATATGCAGATTATTCATTTAATACTATATTATTGATTATGCATGCATATTCATTTATTAAATTAAATGATTAAATATGCAGATTATTCATTTAATACTATATGATTAAGTATGCATATTCATTAAATTGTTAAATATGCATATTCATTTAATACTATTATTGATGATTAAGTATGCATATTCATTTAATAAATTATGAAATATGCATATTATTCATTTAATACTATATTATTGATTGTATGCATATTCATTTATTAAATTAAATTATGAAATATGCATATTATTCATTTAATACTATATTATAGATGGCTAAGTATGCATATTCATTTATTAAATTATGAAATATGCATATTATTCATTTAATACTATATTGATGATTAAGTATGCATATTCATTTATTAAATTATGAAATATGCATATTATTCATTTAACGCTATATTACTGATGATTAAACATGCATATTCGTTTATTAAATTAAATGATTAAATATGTATATTCATTTAATACTATATTATAGATGGCTAAGTATGCATAATCATTTATTAAATTGTTAAATATGCAT